CGCACTTAGGGATTATAACCCTCAGGCAGTAGAATTCTCCTTTCTGTGTTGCCAAAGAAGGGGGGCTGAACACCTTTTGCAGAGAACACCTTTCTGCGTAGGCGGCCTTCGGCCGCACTTAAGGATTATAACCCTCAGGCAGTAGAATTCTCCTTTCTGTGTTGCCAAAGAAGGGGGGCTGAACCCCTTTTGCAGAGAACACCTTTCTGCGTAGGCGGCCTTCGGCCGCACTTAGGGATTATAACCCTCAGGCAGTAGAATTCTCCTTTCTGTGTTGCCAAAGAAGGGGGGGCTAAACACCTTTTGCAGAGAACACCTTTCTGCGTAGGCGGCCTTCGGCCGCACTTAGGGATTATAACCCTCAGGCAGTAGAATTCTCCTTTCTGTGTTGTCAAAGAAGGGGGGCTGAACACCTTTTGCAGAGGACACCTTTCTGCGTAGGCGGCCTTCGGCCGCACTTAGGGATTATAACCCTCAGGCAGTAGAATTCTCCTTTCTGTGTTGCCAAAGAAGGGGGGCTGAACACCTTTTGCAGAGAACACCTTTCTGCGTAGGCGGCCTTCGGCCGCACTTAGGGATTATAACCCTCAGGCAGTAGAATTCTCCTTCCTGTTTTGCGAAGAAAAGGAGCTGAATACCTTTTGCAGAGAACACCTTTGTATATTTTTAATGCTTACTGGGTTATATCCTATCTTCTTTTGTCTCTCATTCTTTTGCATATTTTGGAGTTTGACAGCTGAACTCCGCCATTTAATTTGCATATGCAACCAAAGTCAGACGCGTGATTTTGAAGGTGTTTTTATTTAATGAATTGTGATGAATTGGTTAATATTAAAGTCGTAAAGCAAGTTATAACAAATCAAGTAAAGTGTAAAGTGAAGGGGAATACAAAAATATATTGGTGAAGTGGCTAATTTAAGCAGAATAGGAGTGATAAATGTACGCTAATTTCCGAATTTTACAAAAAAGGGCATATTTTAAACCCAATTTGTAAATAAATTAGTAACCAAAATTTACAAAAGTGAGTGTTAAAATATTGCGTGGACCCTTGACTACAAGTGTGTGAAATTTTTTTTTTTGGATCGGGCCACCCATTTGGACGGAATAGCCCGAAATAGTTGTGAGCGGTACTAAACCCCACCCCAGAAAAGTTTTAAAATCGGGCAATAACCACGCCCACATCCCATATAACGGTAATTTGGAGAAATACGAAATCTTCGATAATTCATTCAAAATTGTTGCTTTCGAAATTTAAGGATGCTAATTTACTCAAAACTGATACACCCCGGTTTACCATGTAGCGGTAGCTTTCGGCAAGGTGAAAAACATATATTTAATACTTGCGCCGCGATTGCCGTGTTTTGTTTCTTTGTATAAATTAAGTAAAATACACCCAAAATCGAATTTCAATAACCTAGAAAATATATATGTTAGTCAGAGTTATATTCGATCTGAGTATCATATTTCATCTAAACCCGTGCAGCCGTTCTAAGTGAAGAGCGGTCTTACATAGTGCGGGTTTTTAAGTTTTTAATTACATTCAACAATTTTATATTGAGCTCGAGGCCGTTTTAAATGAAAATTTTTGTTGTGGAAAAGCAACAATAATTTGAAAAAATGGTAGAAGTGATATCTATTTCGGAAATCACCACATTTCCTCATCAGACTTCTTTCAGTAGGATTCGAACCGACGAATTTTAATTACAAAAAAAAACTTTATTGAACATCTGTGCTAAGATCTTTAATTTGACCTATAAGGGGTAAAAAAGTTGATTGAACAGAACGGACGAGTTTTTAATTCGCTCCCGCACTTTTTTGGCATAGTTATGCGGATTATAATTTACATAAATAAAACTAAACTTGATTACTTTAATCGCGTGCGAACATTACGATATTTATTTATTCGGTATTTCAAGTACGGTGTGCAACAATAATTGATAAAATTTTCTTGCGCTAAATAAATTAAATCGCTTTCAATTCGTTTGTTTGTTTTGCCGCTCGTTTGTTATGTCTACCGCTACTCCCCCTCCACTGAAACGTCGACTGAGCAAAGGCTCCCCCTCTGCAAAAACAGCTAAATTTGATGAAGGTGCAGTTACCACACTCACAGCTGTATACAATAAGTTGAAAGAGGCAGAGCAGAGGGTACAGCAGCATACTAAGCAGTTGCGGCCAGTGTTGCCAGGTCTTCGGCATGAGAAAACGTCCCTCTTGGTCTGAAAAAACGTCATTTACTACCCAAAAACGTCTTTTTCAAATGAATGTACAACAAATTGTTCTTATTTAAACTTTTATTTCAGTTTATTCAGTCTATGATTAAAATCTTACAGACCAGATAAAAATAAGACTATCATAATTAAAACTAAATAATATAGATTTAGATACACAAGTAGTTATAAGACTAGTAATTTTTAGCAAAAAAAAAAAACCGACTTCAACTCCCATATAAAAAAAAATATATATATATATATATCTCATGATCCACTGATCGGATCTCAACCAGATTAGTATGGGACCACCCCTGAGACACTACCTTTCCGATGCAAAAAGAATTATAGAAATCGGTTGACGTGGTCCAGTTATGCGGTAACATACATAAAAAAAAAAATAA